CAAGGCAGCCTGGCTCCCAATTGTCCAGGGGAAGAGTTGGCCCAGGAAGAGAGGATGCCAAATAGACAGGGTGGGTTGGGGGAATATTGGCTGACAACTGAGGAATATGATTCCAAAGAAGTAGGGGTAGAGCGCAGAAGTGTGTTAAAAGTGTAATGGCACTTGAGATTGGGTGATGGGGAAGGCAATATGCAATGAGAGAAAGGTTAGGGAAAGAGAACTGCAGCAGGAGAAGGCGCTGGGAGGTTTGCAAGAGTTAAGGGCAACAGAGGTAAATACTTTTATGCATGCAATCCTGCAATAGGGGAAACCTACAAGTAGCTGGGAAAGGTTATCATCATATGCATGTGAAAGTTGCACATTGAATAAGGAAAGACCATGGAAGAATAGAATCATTTGAATTGTGGTGCTGGGAAGAATATTGAAAGTACCATGGACTGCTAAAAGGACAAACCAAATTGGAAGAAGTGAGGCCTGAGTGTTCCTTAGAAGCAAGGACGGCAAGACTTCCTCTTCCATACTTTGGACATGTTGTCAGGAGAGGCCAGTCCCTGGAGAAGGACGTCATGCTTGGTAGAGTGGAGGGCAGTGAAGAAGAGGAAGGCCCTTCAGGGGATGGACGGACCCAGTGGCTGCATCAATGGGCTCAGGCGTGGGAACAATTGTGAGGATGGCGCAGAACCGGACAGTGTTCCGTTCTGTTGTGCACAGGGTCACTATGGGTCGTAGCCGACTCGATGGCACCTAACAACTACACTAGTAGATGCTTGGATAGACATCGGCATACGCAGGCATGGGAGGGAGAGGGAGAGCCTGCCTGTAAATGTATATGGATTTGACAGAGGATATTTATACATGGGTATTTACCTATGCTGCAAATATGCCCATGGATGGAGTGGAGCACACAGGGGCAACGTGATGAAAACTTCTTAGACATAACCATCCCCTCAAGGGACTAAGTCTCTGCTTGGGGGATCAGATCATAGTCTCAGGAGACACCAAGGTCAATTCAAATAATAGTTCATAAAGACAATGTTCTATATTCTACTTTCGAGAGTAGCAACTAGAGTTTAAAAGCTTGTGAGCAACCACCTGGGGTGCAACTGTTGGTCTTCTCCATCTGAAGGCAAGAGGAGTGGTAGAAATAAAAACGCACCCATCAAGTGGACTAATGGACCACACAAACATCAGTGTCCACAACACTGAGACCTGAAGGGCTACGTGGTGCCCAGCTACCAACTGCTCTGAAAAGATCACATTAGAAGGTCCTGGACAAAGTGGGAGAACATAAGGAACAAAATCATTAACGCGGCCAGGTTGGACTGACTAATGGGCCCTCAAGACGATGGTCCTTAGTCCCCCTTCAGGTCTGGAAGTTAACTCTCACCACTTGTACTAGAACAATCAGCCATTTAAGATCAAAGGGGCAGCATTTACCCCTCAGCAAAGTTCAGAGGGTTAGGAAGGAAGGAAGAATGGAAGCAGGAAGCACAGAGGGGAGGATAAATGATGGTGCACTGCAGGGTTGCAAGGGATGAGTTGGATCTGAATGTGTGGATTGTCCAATGTAGAACTCTTCTGTAAACCTTCATCGAATTCACAGTAAAAAGTTACTTTACATTAGCACTTGAGAGAGATCATCTTAGAAGGATTTTACATAATAGACCACAGGGATGAAGACCAGATAGGAGGTTTTTTATTATTCAAATTCTTGTTCAAAATAGGCCTTTGTAATTATAGGGGAGTGGGAGGGGACTTTAAAATCCTGACCATGAATTTCATAGTCATGGCTAGTTGGAGTAAGTTCCTGAGTTAAGGCCCAAATGGACTCCCATATGAAGTCCAAAAAAAGTCAACGCCCCCAATCTCACTGCCATCAAGTCACTCCAACTCATAGCTACCTGATAGGACAGAGTGAACTGCCACCACCCCTCCGTGAGTTTCCGAGATTGTAACTCTTTATGGGAGTGGAAAACCTCATCTTTCTCTCATGTCATGAAGTGTCTGGTGGTTTCCAACTGCTGACCCTTAGGGCTCCTCCAAAAAGTAAAAATTTCATTTAAATAATTTTCTAACCCAAATACAAAATAAAATTGGTGGGAAAGCTTTATGAGAACTTTCAAGATTATATAACCAATTTTGGTGTTTATTAAATGCAAAATGTCTAAATTGCACTTTTACTAAATGTCTAGCTGAGAAATACACTTTATAGCATTTTTATATTAGGAATTGTCAAATAAACCTATATAAAAATTATATTTTTGTATCTCCAAAGCCCATAAAATTCCCTTTTGGTTAGTAATAACATCAGGTTTGGGGATTGTTTGTTTTTTAATAGTTTTTACAGTTCTTTTTTTATTCACACCATAAGAAATAATTGAGCTTCTTCCAGATTATTGAGAATGTGTGGACACTGATGTTTGGGTGCGTTTACATTTTGGTGAGGCAAGAGATGGGGGATGTTTCACAGAGAGGGAAGGGAAGTTTAAATGAATTATAGTTGCCTTCCATTTAAATAATCTTCCTCCTTCATATTCAATTTGAAGACGGATATTTGTTGGTAAATATTTCTGTATATTAAAAAAAGATGTCATAGCATCTGTTAAATGTTTAAAATTATGGTATCTGTACTTTGAAGTTTTTCGTTTTTATCCAAAGGATCCCGAAGGTTCAGAAGTTGACCTGGTCGAAGAAAACGATTACACTGGAATTATCTCTTTTCCTGACTTCAAGATTCCATCTAATCCTAAGTATTTAAAAATATTTTTTAATAAGGTTTTTCTCTGAAAAACACATCTGGACCTTTGGTTGTGAGACAGATATCTAGTCAACAGGAGCCACCTACTGTTTACAGAGGGTCTTAGTGAGGAAGAAATGTGGAAAGGCCGGGGACACGCTAGGCTCGGTTAGGGGCAATACTTCTCACCACTCCTTTGTACATATAAAAATAGAAAATGGGGAATAGGCCACAGGGTCTTCTACTCTTTTTAGAAAATTGAAACTGTTAGGTCTCTCTGGAGCTAGATTTATACCTCGGTCCTTGGCTACACGCGAGAAAGAATTCACGCTGAAGCCTGGTTCGTGATCGAAGTGAGTTTTATGAAAGTTAGAAGAAGTTTCAGATTTACACGGCACCCAAGGGGCTCCTCCCGGACATGCGGCCTAGCTGGAAGCGGCTCTGCGTCCCGCAAAGCGTGCCAAAGCTCTCTGCGCCTAAGTTCTCTCTCCTCCCGTCTGAGTTCTTCTTCCCATCTCGGTTCTTCTCCTCTAAGTTCTCCTCCTCTCCCCTCAGGGCTTCTGCCTTTTCAAGGATTCCACAGGGAGGCGTGGTGGAAGACCCCTGGTCGACCCCATTGGCTGAATTGAATTTACCTGGCTAGATGATCCAATTCAAGTTCACGCCCACCCCGCCTACCGGCGGGAACCCTGAACATGTGCGGTGTGCCACTCCTTTGTTTCCCTAGTTTGACCCTCTGGGCACGCGTTAATGGACATCCCCCAGTCCTATGCTGGCCTATCTAACAAAACCATCAACCTCTCACCACCAAGGACTCTAATAAGCTTTTAGTCTGAAAGACTGCTTGGGTCCAGTTCCTCACTCTGAGTATTATAAGCTATTGATCCTCTGGAATCTGCGTCTACATAGATGATCAGAAGGCAGAACCAGAGGAAGGATGCTCTTAGAACCCATCTCTTCCTTTGGGCCGCATGGTCAATTATTTGAGAACATGTTTAAAAGAACTAAATACGACGACTCTTTAGTGAACAGATTTCTGATTTGGAAGTGAGAGTTGCAACATCGATGTGGAGAATCCACTGTCCTTGCCTGCTGAGCCGTCAGCTGAGACAAACGTACCATCCTCCACAGCAGTATTGGCAGTTGATTCATGATACTAAAACTTGTCTAGAAATTTGGGTGCATTGGAGAATTTGAAGATTTTGGATAATCTGAAAATTGTGTACTTTTTGAAAATATTATATGCTCTGTAGCACAGAAATGAACCTAATATTTTATTGCTATTATCATTGCTTCAACTTCACAGAAGGCCTTTTGCTCATTGGAAAATTATATGTCAGTCTAGCACAAACGCTTTCCCACCGGAAGACCTTTGCACATAGCGTCCCTTCTGCTTACAATGTATGAGAGGGCTTCAAAAAGCTCGTGGGAAAATGGAACGGAAAGATACTGGATCTTTTTCACAGACTTTTGAAGCACGCTGTGTATCACTTTGCTCTGCCCATAGCTGGCTTCTTATTCTTTCAAACAGGGTAAACCTGCCTTTCAGAAAGATTATCACCGAACACTCACAGGAATGCAGTCCTGTCAATCTCAGCACCACGTTCATTCCTTCATGACACTAATCTCAGCTTTGTAGTTATATATGAGGGGGTACCCCCTAAAAAGAGATTTTTTCCCCTAAGCTCTGTATTTAAATTTTTTTTACAAAACAACCTTATCACCTTCAAAGTACTCTCCATTACACTTAATACATTTTTCAAATCTGCGATTCCATTTTTCAAAACATTTTTCAAACTCATCTGTTTGGATGGCTGACAGCACCTCCCTTGTTTTTCCTTCACTTCTTCTACACCGTCAAATCACTGTCCTTTCATGTCCCTCTTCATTCGTGGAAACAAAAAGAATTCACCTGAGTCACCTGAGTGAGTCACTTCAAAAAGAAGTCACCTGAGTGAGGTCAGGTGAGGAAGGTGCGTGGGTGCAAGAGAGGCCTGCTGTTTTTTGCCCCAAACTGACGCACCGATATGGCTGCGTAAGCAGGTGCATTCTCATGGTGGCAAAACCAGTCCCATGTCTGCCACAAATCAGGCCTTTTTTGCCATACACTGTTACACAATCTTTTCAGAACCTCTAAATAGAAAGTTTGATTAACAGTCTGACCTGGTGGAACGAACTCCAAATGCACTACAAGTGGACATTTTCATCCTTCGGGAAGCTGATGGATATCCAGAACAAGGTTTGTCATCAATCAACATTTCACCATTTTTGAAATGCGAAAACCACTCGTACAATTGAGTTTTTCCCTTAGTACTATCCTTGGAAGCTGTGTTCAACATCACAACAGTTTCTGAGGCATTTTTCCTGAGCAGGAAACAAAATTTCACAGCCACAATATGTTCTCTTAAATCGGTCATCACAAGAAACGAAGTTTGAGGGAAACTACTTTCACACAAAAATTCACTGCGATCAGAGAGAACCTTCTCAGGTGCCACCACCGGGTGCACTAAGTCAGAGGAGTTGCTCAGTGCTCACCTAGCAGGAAAACTATGTACTATGAAAGCTCTGCTCAGCTGAGCATTTTTCTGCCTTTTGGGGGGGTGGGTGGGAGGTGTGGGGGGCACACCCTCATATGTCTTCACTCACTTGCCTTTTATTACTTACTCTACTGTAAACTCCTTAAGAGCAGATACCTTGTCTGTTGCTGTATTTTCAGCCTTTCAAAATAATAGGCACTCAATATTCTGATTTCTCTTCAAATAATAGGCACTCATTAAATATTAATTAAATTGGTGATGATGACAGTAAGAATAAAAACCACCATGACAATATTTGTTGATTATATAATCAACCTGCAAAGCAGAGACTGTGTTTGCTCCCCATTTCCTGGGGTTAAATGACTTGTCCAACCTACTAATAAGTGGAAGCGTGGAAATAGGAACTCCTGTGGGCAGCTAGGCTGTGTAAGGAGGGACTGTCCTATCTTACGTTTGATCCCTGGTTTCTACTCAGTTGCTGTTAAGTGCCGTGGGCTGGTTCTGACCCACAGCATTATCTGGTGCTCAGTACATATTTTTGAATGAAGCTGTTGCCCCAGGTCTTGTTCTCCTTAAGCCATGTTTTCTCTTAAACTACAATTTATTCATTCAGTAATGCCCAGTATCTCATTGCATCATCGCAATGAGAGGTCATTCTATTTTTTTAAATCACTGCCTCAGGCAGATGCAATATAAAGTAAATCTGCTCCAGGGGCTCAAATAGAAAGCAAATGCGCATAAAATAAGGATGGCAACATATGTGCAAATATGCTCGATATAATTGATATATGGATTGTTATAAGAGCTGAAAGAGCCCCAAATTTAGTGATCTTTTAAAATAACAATAACGTAAATATACTGATTTATTTCAACAAATACACTAGGGATCAGGTTTTGCTTTCTGAGTGAGCTCTGAGTCAGGAAAAATAATAAAAACCATAATTTTATTTTCTGTAAGGTGTGAATTTTATTACCTGGCTAGGCTTGGCCTGTAAAATATATATCTAGAAATATTATGACAGATTTCTACTACACTGTAGATCTGAGTATCATATTATTATAATTAAGCTCCAGGATTAAGTAACTTCTTAAGTATCATAAACCTTCCAAGTCAAGACTATTGACTATATTCAGTGTATTTTAGAAAATAATTCAATATATGAAGAATTAATTACTGAACTATTTCTATTATTCTGAAAAATTCTCAGTTATTTCTGTTTATCACTTAAAAACTTGTCACAAATAAAATAGAGTATTTAGGCAATCTATACCATTACATGCCTCTTCCTCTTTGGAATAGGAATTGATTATATTTCCTCTGGGTGAATTAAAAATATTTGATGATACCTGTAATTTTAAATATTTTTTCTTCTTCAGATATGGTATATGGACAATTCAAGCTAAATATAAAGAGGACTTTTCAACAACTGGAACTGCATATTTTGAAATCAAAGAATATGGTAATTTCTGAGAATTTAGTGTTTTCCTTTCAAAAAGCTAATGTTTTTGCAGTAATTTATTAATGCACTTAACACAAAAAATCACTCCTAGATGACAAGAAGGCAGCTTGGTGGTATAGTGCTGGTCCGTGTGGGCGGGTGATGGTATTCTATTGCCTGTGTCCTTATTCCCATATGCCCTTGCTGTCCTTGACCAAGCAGGTCCATCTCTCTGAATTTGTGCTGTACACCACAGAGCATGACAAGTTAAGGTTCTTTGCAGAACTGTGATTTTAGGAACACTGTAAGCTATCAGAGATCCAGTAAGTGGAACACAGTAAAGTTAATAAAGGATTTACTCCAGCCTTACGACACTTGTGTGACAGAACAAGGACAGTATCAGATTTCTTTGCTCCTCGTCCAAGACTATCTCCCTTCTGGATCTCACATCTCTGATGTATTTATTTGGATATTTAATATGCTCTTATTTTAAAATCAATCACATTGAATGGACTAAATAAAAAGCCCTGCTCCACCCAGTGGGTTTTGATTCCTGGCAGCCTCACGTGTTTCAGAGGAGAAGTGTGCGCCAGTGGGTTTTCAATGGCGCATTTTTCAAATGTAGATCATCAGGCTTTTCTTCCAACGACCCTTTGGGTGGATTTGAACTTCCCATCTTTGTGTTAGTCGCAAATATGTTAACCATTTGCACTACCAGTGCTCCGGTGATGTTGGACTACCAGCCATATAGTCAGCAGTTTGAAACCACCAGCCGATCCATGGAATGAAGATGAGGTTTTCTATTCCTGTAGAGATTTACAGTCGCGGAAGCCGACCCGGGCTGCTCGGTCTGTCTGTCTAGGGCGGCCATGAGTGGCATCGACTAGATGACAGCTACTGACTATTCCATTAACATACTAACAGCTTAACCTTCCATTTCTTATCATCATTTAAGAGTATATGTGTGCTCTCTTAATTGAACTTCCTGCTGTTTGAAACCATGCCTTAAAATGCTATCAGCAGGCTCATAATGCTATAGGGAAGAAGCACACCGATGTTAACAATGAGCAAGTAAAAACAGTGACAACACAAATTTGCTAAAATAAAACAAAAACTTTATCATAGGCTCTCAACAATATAGTATCCTAATCATCTGCCTTCCTCCAAATAGTTTGTATGTATCTAGAATTCATTCACCCCCACCATCTGCAGCCATCCTCTCCTCCTCGTCGCCACTAGACTCAGATCCAGAGGACTGCAAAAGCCTCCTTCTTGGTATCTTGATGGCTTGGAATTACCCAAAATAATCTTGAAGTGGAAATCTGACTGATTGTGCCATTTCTCTATCAAAAATTCCCCAGTCATCCCCTTTCCTTTTGTAATGAAAGCCAGAATCCTCATTTTGAGCGGGCTAACTCCTTCACATGCATGTGAACGGTGGGCATTGAATAAGGAAGACTGGAGAAGAATCCAGGCATCTGAATGACGGCGCTGGTGAAGAACATTGAAAGTACCCCGGACTGCCGAAAGAACAGACGAATCAGTCTTGGAAGAGGTTCAGCCAGAATGTTCTTTATTGGCAAGGATGGTGAGGCTTTGTCTCGCTTACTCTGGACATGCTGTCAGGAGAGCCCAGTGCCTAGACAAGAGCCTCATGCAAAGAAAGGAAGACCCCCAGCAAGCTGGGTGGACACAGTGGCTGCCACAGTGGGATCAAGCACAAGAACCGTGAAGATGGCACAGAGTCAGGCAGTGTTTTGTCTGTGGGGCACAGGGCCACTCTGAATTGGAACCAACTCAACAGCACTTAACATTGTACCTCTTCCGCCTCACCTTCTCTCCCCCTCCACCCCACGGCCCTCCAGCCTCAGGGGCTTTGCTCATCATGTTCCATCTTCCTGCAACACTTTTCCTGCCTTGTTGTGCCACCTATTCCGACTCAGTTTTGGTTTTAAAATGATTTCTAAGGGAAGCTTCCCTACTATTCTTTTCTTGAGTAAGAGGGACCTTTGACCGTGATACGAGCGTTCACTATGGTTGTTGAGGTGGCTATCTTCACAGTTATTTATTGATGCCTGTGTTCCCTGCTTGTCTGAGAACTCATAAATGACAGAGTATATCCCTGGTGATGGGAACGTGCCCACCACATGGAAGCTCACTACTGGATGAGGTTGTTGTCTACCATTGAGTTAATTCCCACGCTAGGCTTGACCCTGCGGAACAGAATGGAACTGGCCCCTCGGGTTTTCTCCCATGGAGCAGCTGGGGGTTCCCACAGCTGACTTTTTGATTAGCAGCCGAACGCGTAACAATTGTACCATCAGGGCCCCTTTATGTGATGATAGGACAAAATATCCCCCTACTCCCATATCCTGGAGAGAACATTCCTGCCTTGCTCTTTGGGAGAGGATTAGCAAATTGCATTGCTCCTTAATGCTTAGCCTTCACCATCAAGGTCACATTTAGCACATCTGAGGCACACACCCCCCCTCCACACACACACCTCTCTCTCTCTCAAGTCTACTGGCTACTGGTACAGAGAGGCTTTATTGCTTGCCCACAATATCAAGTTCACTCATTCATCCATTTTTTGTGTGAAATGTTGTTCAGGTGATTAGAATGACAACCTATGAGCCTTGACACACCAAGTATAAAGAGGTGACAATGCTATTTAGACAGATTGATTTTCCCATAGGTTCTCAGGATCCAAAAGAGGGAAATATATTAGCTTCATTTTTTAGCTAGTTTTTAACTTTCTGTGAAAGTTTATTGCTTTATAGTTAACTGGAGCTCTCTCTTCTTTACTGAAGTCAGTTTCACAATGACATTTTGGACTTTTATTAACTAGATGTATAAAGAAAAATGCTAAATAAGCCACAATTTTCTTTTCTATTTTCAATTTAATTCAACAAAATTTGTTGAGCATCTAGTTACTTTACTTAAGACTTATGAGAAGGGTGATATACAACAGTAAGTACATAATAGGATTTTGTTCGTGTGTGTATGTTCTCAAAGAGCCCATACTCTAGTGGAGGAAGTACCCAACTGCCTATACTAAATGGTATAATTAAAGTATTAGCAAAGTGCTACTGGTACCCAGGTGCTTTATTGGCTTCTGGATGGTAGAGGGGAAGGCTTCCCAGAGGTGATGGTGGTGATGCTAGGATGGCATTGTGTGGAAGTTAACAGCTTGGTCCAACTGTAGCAGAAAGTAGAGCTGGTTGCTGTGCTTTAAAAGTGGCTTCAATTTGAATAGTAATATTGCCTCTTTCTTTCTTTTTTCAGTGTTGCCACATTTTTCTGTCTCCATAGAACCAGAAAATAATTTCATTGGCTATAAGGACTTTAAAGATTTTGAAATCACTGTAAAAGCCAGGTAAGAAGGGTATTATTTTTAGAGATGTAGCTAAATTGAGTTAAAAGTTGCCCAAAGTGAGAACTGTGGTCAATTGGTAATGTCTGTATTGACTTTGACCCAGATGGACAGAGGTTGCATCATACCTATGTTGATTTTCTTACATCATACATAAGTTGATTTTCTTATTCTGATTTTAGCTATTGTATGGTGACCAGATTTAAAGCGGGACACCATTGACCGGGTGTGTGTGTGGGGGGTGGGGTTCTTGATTGAAAATTTGGTCTATATGGACCAAATAGACCTTTCTCTAGCTTGTCGTTCATTCTTTCCAAAAATTGGACTTTTTTAAAATGCAAAAAAATCAGAACTGTCCCGCCAAAAGTGGGACCTCTGGTCACTAGACTATTGGCTATTCACCAGCAAAGAATGCTAACGATTTAAGTTCAATGGGTGGGCGTAGGAACCAGCATGGCAAAGGATATTGGGACTGAGTTTTGAAGCCTTCTCTTGACAGTGTTTAAATTGTTCTATCAGTCTGCTGATGCTGCATAGCAACTTGGCATAACAGCCAATGCCTTAAAGCCACAACCTGTGACAAGTCAGTCTTGAAGTTCAGCTGATCTGGGCCAGGCTGACCTCAACTGGGCTTTCTCATGTGTCTGTAGTTATTGGCAGGTCAGCTGGGGCTGGCCGGTCTAGAATGGCCTCACGCACATTTGGCCGGCTGTCAACTGGAACTAAAGATGGCTGGAGTCACAGGAGTCTCTCATTATCTAGCAGACTGGATTGTAGCAACAGCAGGGCTCAGAAAGAGAGTGGGCGCATGAAAATCCTATTGATTATCAACCTTAAAACCAACACTTTCATTGTTTTGGGCCCCAAACAAATCACGTTGTTTGGGGCCCAAAACAAAGCACAAGGTCAGTCCAGAGGAAATAGACACTCACTCCTCCACAACACCCTTTGTTTGCAAGAAACTACAAATATGTCAGGGAGAGGTGAATTGAGTTAAGTTGGAAGCAATCTACTAAAATAGCTTTGGTCCCTTAAAAATGAAAATATAACTTAATTATTAATAGTAGCATAAACTATGTAACTATATGTGTTGGGTACTTTTCCAAACATTTTGCATGTATGATCTTGTTTATTCTTTACAACAAAATCTACGATATAGATGACATTTGTATACCCATATTACAAATGTACAGACATGGAAGAGCATAAATGTCTAGGAATTTGCTCGAGATCACATACCACTGAGTAGCAAAGTGAGACTGATTCCAGGGTCTCCACCTGCAAACATCACCCTGGTCAGTTCTCTTATTGTTAGATGTTCTGAAACGAGAGGGTCACTTCATCTAGACCAGCAGTAGAAGTTCCATTGAAAGAGCATTCTAGAAATTGAGTGCTTTTAGTGGAGACGTCGCCTTGTGAAGAGCCAACTCTTAGTGTATATTTACTACATAGAAAGTTGCCTTTATTATTTCTTTAATTATGAACTAAAGAGGAAATATACAGTCAGAATAACAACAACCCCAAAGCACGCATCTTATGTAACAGTGAAATTCGACAAGTTTCTTTTAAAGACATGAAAGAAAAGAGGAGGGGAGCTTCCCATTGCTAGCAGGAGCACCAGGCAGTGACATGGTGGTGGTGGGAAAGGGGTTGGAGCTGAGTCTTTTGATCTCACCAAGAGCATTTTTTTCCTTAGCATATAGTCATATCAATCTGCCATCCCACTTTATTCTTAGGACCCTCTGAGATTGAAATGGAATTATGGATGGAAGACACTTTCAAGAGTATCAAGTACTTAATATAATTTTAAGTGGTTATGTTTTACCTGAGTCTTGTTATTGTACCTGTGTTAGCAAAATAATTTTATGGTATTCTTGCTTGGCAGGTATTTTTATAATAAAGTTGTCTCTGAGGCTGAAGTTTTTATCTGGTTTGGGATAAGAGAAGACTTGAAAGATAATGGCAAGGAAATGATGTCAAAAGCAATGCAAAGCAAAAGGGTAAGATGTTAAGACGTGCTCTCTCATACTGAATGAGTGTTGCGAGGGAAAGTGTATTCGTTTCTTAGGGCTCTCCAAAAGCCAGTGACTTAAAACAACAGCCACGTACTCTCTCACATTTAGGAGGCTAGAAGTCCACCATCAGGGCCTCAGCAGAGCCATCCTCTCTGAAACCTCAATGGAGAACCCACCTCCTTGCTGCTTCCAGCTTCTGGTTTCCAGGCAGGACTTGGCTTGTGACAGTATAACTCCAGTCTCTGCTCCTCTTCTGGTGTCACGTTGCGTTCTATCCTCTCCATCTTTGTATCCTCTCTTTGTAGAAGAACACCCGGCATGTGGGGTTAGGGCTGATGCTACTCTGTGGTGGCCTCAAATGAACTGATTACATCTGCAATGACTCTATTTGCATCTCAGGTCACATCCCCAAGTATAGGTGGTTAGGATTTGGACACATCTTTTTGGAAGGCATAAATCATCCCAGAACAAAAAGTTACTTGCGAATCATCTAGTCCAATCCCTCATTTTGTGTAGGTGTGATAGCTGGATCTTGCACTTCTCCATTGCTTCTCATTGTCCTTAGGACTAAAGCTCACTCTCCTTGGCAATGGCTGCCCTTGCCAGCCTGTCTTGTGCCACTCACCGAATGCACGGGTGCTTCTCTCCCCCTTGCATTCGTTACATCCGTTGCTCAGATGTACCATACATTGACTCTCTTGCTGCTCGGTCTTTGGAACACTGTTCCTTCTGCTTGGGGAAATGTTTTTTCCTTTTCCTTCTCCTCCACCTTCTTTGCCCAATTCTTTCTCATTCTTTTAGCCTTCATACTGACTCTCTTCTCCTGAGAAGTATCCCTCTGTCTCCTCCAAGCTGGGTTAGATCCTGAACTTCCTTATTGGCGTATGCTCACACTTTATTGCAAAGGTTCTCAACCAGAGGGCAATGTCCCCAGCCCTGAGGGCAGTTCCCAAAGACCAGTGAGATTTGTGGTTGTCAGAACTTGGGAAGTGATAGCTAGAGGCATCTTGGGAGCAGAGACTGGGTGCTGCTAAAAATCCTACAGCCCACAAGATATTCCCCCATAATAAAAATGATCCAGCCCCAAATCTCACTAGTGCTAAGGTTGAGAAACCTACTTTATTATAATGGTTTATTTGTTTTATAGTAAACCCTTCAAGGGTCTGACTTGTTCCCATTACCTGCCCAGAGCCAGCAAGGTTTTTATGAACGAGTGGGTGCTACACAGGGAAGGTATTTATCCACGGTTAGGGGCCTGTGAGTGCTGGGGTCAAAATTAGAGCACTGCCCCCTTTTATAAGTAGTTTGCCTTACAAATTATTTAGTCTTTGCTCTTTCAAAAGTCAGTTTGATTTATTCAAGATGTAATTAAATAACTTTGTTTGATGCAAGATTCCTTGCTGGAGACTGGGTCTTAAAGTATTCAAGTTGAGCAATTTTAAAGAAAAATGAGGCAAAATCTACTTCTTGTGTTTACTAATATTGTATGATTTGGCTGCATACCCCATACCTCATTCTATGTTTCTAAGTCAGATTTTAAATACATTACCATTGAGGTACAAGGGAAATATTATAAAACTCAACTGAGAGACCTAGAATGATAAATGGTTTCACAATGACAGCGGTTCTCAACCTGTGGGTCACAACCCCTTTGGGGGTCGAACGACCCTTTCACAGGGGTCGCCCAATTCATAACAGTAGCAAAATGACAGTGATGAAGTAGCAACGAAAATAATTTTATGGTTGGGGGGTTACCACCACATAAGGAGCTGTATGAAAGGATCGCAGCATGAGGAAGGTTGAGAACCACTGGATTAGAAGGTATTTTTGCCAGGTAGTGCAGAAAAGAACTGGGGCTCACAGATAGTTGACCCCAAGCCTGTCTCAATCATCACCAGAGGGAATTTACCAGAGGTCTACCTTCTATGACTGACGTTTTCAAGTATTTTATTTTGAACCCTAACTAGATTTTTTTAATGCCTTGGAAACAGGAACTTCGTATCACCTTGAGAACTCAGACAAATCCTTACCATCACTGAGCAGGATTGTTCACTGTCCATGCAAGCATGTTAGACTAGATCATCGCTAGGGTCCTTTCCGGCTCTTTAGAGCCTACGAAAGTAGATTAGGAAATTGGAGTCAAGATCCCGTTTGTTGAAAGAAATGCTGTACACATTCTGTTCCTTCTGTAGCCTTCGCACTGCAGTCCTTGAGTGATGTTGGACTGCTCACTGAGAAGCTGGAGAGCGCGAGTCCCCCCAGAGGTGCCGAGGAAGAAAGACCTAGCCATCTCTCATTGAAAACCCTACAGAACCCTGCAGTGTCACTCTGCCCCACGCGGGCTGCCATGAGTCACAGTCAATTCCAAGGCAGTCGTCTGGGTCATATGGCCTGTGTTTGTGTCCTCCCAACACTAGTGGAGGGTAGGGCATCCTTCACACTACTAACCAGCCTCTGACACTCACTTACCCTTCGAAGATGCCTGATAGTCACCAGAGAGGTGGAAGGAGCAAGGCAGCAGCAGGAAGGCTGTCTTTGTTTTTGTTCTACCTTTACCACCGATACTTCCCTGGTCTAAAGTTTGTAAATTTGCAGAGGAAAACATAAGACACCCCCCCACACACACGTGCACACGCAATTCTGGTTATGCCCAGACTTCTCTTTTAACACCACAAGTATCCTTTGAGTTCCCTCCTGTAAGAATATATTTCTTTGAGGATTCTGAACGACCACACCCTTGCCGTGCAAATGCAGGCAGACCAGCTTTAGAAACTAAACAAAGAAAAGGCCGTAGATGTTCATGGGAGCAGTCGGCCCCGTCTTTCTCCTGTGGAGGGGGTGGTGGGTTTGAACTCTCCACTACTTAGTCAGCCCACCAATTTGACCCACTGTGCCGCCAGCGCTCCTTGCCTTCCACTTAGACACAAGTAAAAGCAAATTTTGTTCATTTTTCCTCTTAAGTTCCTCTCTGACATAATGTTTCCTTTCTTCCCCCTTTAAAAAGATGATAGATGGAATTGCTCAATTCACATTTAACAGTGAAATAGCGATTAAAGAACTATCATACGAGAGCCTAGAAGACGTAAATAATAAGTACCTTTATGTTGCTGTAACAGTCATAGAGGCCACAGGTAAGTTTCTTTCTTTCTCTTGGGATTTAGATAACAGAATAAGGGTAAACATAATTTCCATGGCTCACATGCATGTTTATTTTCTTTCTTAGTTAAATGTTATACTTGATAGGATGGAAAACGGGGATACAATACAAGTAGAGCTCTGCCACTCTGTAGGTAATGAATGGCAAGTCATCGAGTTCCAAGTGTGAATGACGTGTGGTCCCAGCACCCAGGTCTACAAACTAACATCAGGCATAAGACAAGTACACAAAGAGCTCTTGTAAGAAACGTCTACCGTGTTGTAAGCAAAATAATGCCACCAGCCTCCAGAAGCAGGAGAGCAATCAGATCATTGAGGAGCATCCAGGAAAGGCGTCGTGAAGAAGGAGGGAGTTTGAGATTGCCTGGCAGGGTAAATAGGACTTTAAACAGGGATGGTAGACAGGATGAGCCAGGGCACCTTCCATACAGGGAATGAATGGTTTTTAAGACTGGAAAGGAGGGCTTGATTTTTGAGAGTAGAAGCATATTCAGTTTAGTTAAAATAGGGAACAAGCAGATGTAATATTGGAAAGGAGTTTGACTATACTTGAGCTTTGAATGTTATTCTCAATAGCGTGAGTTTAATTTTCAGCGGGTGGTTAATAAGGTAACATTCTCCCTACCTCGAACTTTTTTCTGTCTTCTCTGCTTCCCTCACCATCCCTGTCCTCTACCAGGGCACTTCCCGTGAAGTTCAGTCTCTGGCCTCCCCCTTTCCTTTCTCCTCAATCATTTGTACATAATCAATGGATGCTCAGGCCACTGACCAAGTGGGGCTCCTTCCTCAGATCCCTCCTCCGTTCAGTCACTTCCTCCGGGTACAGTTCTGTTTGCAAGCTTTGCACAACATTTTGGGGCCTCCTGGAGACCAAACCATCTTCTGCATGGCCTCTCTGAGCACCAAGAACCATGTCTGCTAATGCTAAATGAAGGAATATGCAATGAGTGAATTAACATGCCTGAAGACATAGATAGAGACAACACAGAAACCTACAGAGATCACTGTACTCTTCGAATATGTCAATCTGGTGCTTGTCATCTGCCTAGGTGGATTTTCTGAAGAAGCGGAAATACCTGGTATCAAATACGTGCTCTCTCCCTACAAACTAAATTTGGTTGCAACTCCTCTTTTCTTGAAGCCTGGGATTCCATTTTCCATTAAGGTAATGAGGGAAAAAACAAAGACCTACTAAATATGATTAATTCTGTGATGGGGTCCATAGTGGGCGGTGAACAAATGAAGGGTGCTGGGGAGGGAAATAGGGAGTTCACTGGGTATAACCTGCCCTGCCTGGAGTTGAGGTCAGTCAGGGATGGGAAACCTGCTGGTCAGGGTCACCCAGGGGAGTGATTCCAATCTTGAGGTTCTGACTCACAGTGGCCCTAAAGGGCAGAGTAAAACTGATGCAATAGGGTTTCCAAGCCTATAAATCTCTCTCTTTCTTTTTTTTAAATTTAAATCATTTTCTTGGGGGCTCATACAACTATTCTCACAATCCATCCATACACCCATTGTGTCAAGCACATTTGTACATTTGTTGCCATCATCATTCGCAAAACACCTATAAATCTTTAAGGAGACAGAGCACAGAGCTGCTAGTGGATTTGAACCAATTGCCTTTGGGTTAGCAGCCAAGCACTTAACCATCATGCTACTAGGACTCCATAGCTTTGGCTTCTCTTTCTCTTTCTGCCATTGAGTGGATTCCACCGAGTAGAACTGCCCTGTGTGTTTCCAAGTTTCTCCTGTGGAGTGGCTTGTGGTTTCGAACTGCTGATCGCATGGCTATGGTTAGCAGCGTAACTAGTAAACCGCTCTGCTACCAGGAGTCCCCAGCCTTGGGTTAGTACTCCCTAAGTTTGCATTACAGTAGTTATAGGTAACTAAAATCGCCAAGGTCGATTGTTAGGAAAACAGTAGCATTTACTTCACTGGCCCTTTCAGCAATGTCAAGAACTCTGGTGGTACAGTGGTTAAGCATTCAGTTGCTAACCCTGGGTTCTCAGTTTGAAACCCCACCACACCACCACCACCACGCTACAGGGAAAAACAAGGACCTGGCCCTGGAAATGGATGGTCAGTTCTGTTCTGTCCTGTGAGGTCCCAGTGAAGTCACTGGACTGCAATAGGTTTGGTTTGGGGGATTTGGGAGGAAATTCTTCTTTTTTAGTTGTATTATTATTCCAATGTTTAGTAACTGATGAGAAATGATGTGGTTTCTCTGCGTATCAGTGCTATTGCCTTGAACAGAGTCTAGTGCTTTTCTTCTGCTTTTTAATCAGTTCTTATAACATCCATTGTGTCGAGCACATCTGTACATAGATACATTCATCCTTTTTTAAAAATCATTTTATTAGGGACTCATACAACTCTTATCACAATCCATACATACATCAATTGTGTAAAGCG